ATTTTTAATTTGCAAAAAATTAAAAAATTAAAAAATTAAAAAATAAAATAAATTTTTATCTTAATTTTAATTTGTGGGGTTAAAATAGTCTTGAATAAAGTAAGGAGTTATAATATCTTTAACATTCACAATTCTTGAAAAAGGGCATTTTAGATTTTATATTCATATGAGTATAACATTTTACTAACTAAAATACATTTTTGTCTATATTTAAACATAAATAGAATAAAAAATTTGAAAATAAAATAAATTGATTATATTTTTATAAATAATTATTTATTTTATCTTTTAATGGCTGTAAATATTTCATGCTTTTATTATTATAATCATATACGCATTAATTTGTTTTTTTACCTTGAATTAATTTTAAAAAACATCTATGCTTAAAAAGAGATATTTTGGTTTATTACATATAATTTAGTGGTCAACTAGCAGTTAGATGTGTATAAATAAAAATTTGAAAGTAGAAAAAAGGTTTATGTTTTGTTACTATTGATTCTATAAAAATTTTTATTAACTTTAAATATATTAGAGATATATCCATAATTAAAATAAAATAGAGAGGAAGTCATTGTATTTGAATTTAAATTTTTAAATTTTCTTTGTTAATGTTGTAGATACTTTTTTTCATCTCAAATCTTATTGTTATTTGTTTGTGTTAATTATGGAACTTCATTTCACATCCTTTATACACAATTATTTTTTGAAAAGTATTATTACTAAAAACATCATTCCACATATTATCCTAGATGCCAATTTCTTTTTATTAAATTATTTAATTAATTTTAAAATATTTAATTTCCATTAGTGTTTGTAGTCTCTTTGGTTCGAGGGAATAAAGGAATGAGGATGAGAGTTCTAAAACATAAGTTTTTTTTTGGTAGCATAACAATGAGTTATTTCTATTTTTATACAAGTAAATTGCAATTGTTTATATAATTCTATTTCTATATTAATTTTTTTACAAAATGAAAAAAATCACTATTTATTTAAAATTTATTTTTTGAAAGATGCACAAGATAAAATATAGTTTATATGAAAGTATTATTCAATTATGATGTTGGTGATGCGGGCTTTGGGTGTTGGTGTTTTAGGTTTCAAATACCTTGAGCCCAGTTAAATTATGTTTTTATATTGTTCGTAGATTTTATTAAATTATTGTAGTGTTTTAATTTCGGGACACAGAAGATGATATTGTTTTAATAACATAAGATGATATTTTATTACAATGCCACAAGTGTCAAGGAAGGTAATCCATCACACACTATTTGCACATGCTTAAACTTCACGTATCTGCCTCTAACACATGTGTATTCTCCTCACAGTTCCAATCACACAATCTATTAAAGTCCAAAAAGGGATTTAAAAATGTTCACATGCATTTGACATTGTTTGGAAGTTCTGCAAGTGTCATAAAATGGATTAAGAATAGTTGAACATGTTTTTAGGATACAATTGAACAGCTTATGCAAAGGCAATAATCTAGATTCTGCCTTAATCAAAACAGAAGTGCATGTTTCAGTTTCAAGCTCTTGATGATAAGTCTTTTCCCATTCAACATTTCAAGCTCCTTGACCACGGCTTCTCCCTCTACCTCAACTTCTTCGACTACCACTATGGCCTGTATAGCTAAATTCATGTTGCAACAAAAGAAAAAACATAATTAATCACCAAGAAAATAGCTTAATCATGGTGATCAACATATCAATAAAACTGCTATGTTATTTAATTAGTTCAAATTCATTGGAAGGGTAAATAAAAAATAAAAACAACAAAGATCATAATAGTCCCAGACTCACAAATGCAATGCACTCATAGGCATAATCACATAGGTCTTACAAAAATAGCTCGAGAGCTTTAGCTGCAAAATATTAGAAGTTATTATCAATGTACAAGAGAAAAACCCCATAGAGATATATACTTGAATATGCCAAAGTATTTACTCAAAATTAATCAAATTGGGTGGACAATAACATATTGTAGTCTTTGCATGCACCTATTGGTGTAATGTAGAGGCACAAATGCACCTTATATTAGAAATACAGTTCAAGTCACAAACCTTATTGGTTGCAAAAACAGGACACCAAATACACCAAAGACATTTCTTTGTTACATCTATGCTAACCATATTTTGGTGTGTGGAAAATGGATTTTTGCTTTTTCAGCTATCATCAAATCAAAGAAATCCTATAGTTTTAGAATGGAAGTTGCAATGTCCATTTTGACATTACTAAATAATCACCAAACACTTATCAAACAAACATAATTAGGAGTCACTAAACTCCTATACTTACCATAATCAATAAAGGGTTAACATATAAAAAGTAAATTTTTGAAAATGTTTGAGATCTCAAAAATCTTTAAATGATATGTTTAAACTACAAATTATAAGTATTTATATACAACGGAAGTAAATAGGAATACAAAATCACGTTACATAAGGTAACAAGGATAAAAAAAGTCATTTTTGCCCAAACAGACACATGTTGTGGCATGTATACAGTTAAATTATCATTCAATGCCATGTGCTGCGACATGTAGGCATGCACCACGGTTCACATAATAGCATTTGTTATCATGATAGCATTTGAATTTAGCTAGATCAATCAGAGAACACAGCAACAATTAGATGATAAACACAATAAAACCTTTCTAGTGATGGAACACACATTTTTTTCATCACAAATGAAGGGGATTTTCATCTATATGGGTAGTTCTCATAACTAAATGATTAAATATGATATTTTAGTGAATCGAGCGCACATTTGTTTTCTTAATAGATAAACATAATATTACACATTGGAACACATATCAACCCGAACTTCTTTGCGGCAACGAAATTAATCTGTACCTCTTGTGCTCTTTACACCATAGCTGCAATTAAATACACCTAACAATTATTTGGAAAAAATATACGCAAACATGAATTTTAATTGAAAAGAAGAACGAAAAACCCTTTGTCCTAGGAATGCACGCATAAAAAATGAAGAAAGAAAACATCTGTCCTAGGAAAGCACATAGACAGAAAGCAATAAATTGAAAAACATAGTTTCTTTGTCAACAATGTCATCTTTGAATTTGAGAAAACTAATTATATCTTAAAAGATATCAACTCCTTAATACTATACACACCAAAAAAATCAACAATAATTGGGATTAGGATAAATCAGTGCGATTAGGATAAAATAGTGCCACCATATTATATCTCTTGCTTTAAAATAAAATCCATATAGAGACCATGAAAAATATTTTTCCTTACTATCACTCTATAGTCCTTTTCAATATCCAAGAAATGAAGGATATGTATATGAGCTAACAACAAAATGAGAAACAATATCATCCATATAGAAACAATTAGGAATGATAAATAGTGTAAAATTGGACGTGCTCCAAGGGATAGGAAATGTCAGCGAGCATAAGCACAGATATTCAGTCGCTATAGTGGGATGGCTATCCTTTCTTCATTGTTTCTTTGTTGTCCCCATAGCTTTATTGTAATCATGTAAGGCAAATAGAATTGACAAAATATTAACTTGGCATATCTTAAGCAAGCATTATAGAAGAGAATCAAAAGAAAGGCAGAGCAATTGCAAGATGAAAATTAGACACTAATTAGGAAAGTAATTTCTTTTACCTAAAACCAATGTCCCTGTTCCACAAACAGCAATAGAATCCCCTGGATGCACCTCAATCACAGGGGCAATAGCTCCACATGTAATAAAGACAACACACCATAGAATTGCAGACTCTATACATGGCAATGAGTTTGGTAATACTATCAACACATTCGCTGACACAACACAGTATTTAGCAAACCCTATCACAATTAATATATGAGTTAACAACATAGTGAAATCATTTCCTTTTCTAGCTATTAATCAGATCTCTTATCTTAATTGTGATTATTCTAACTAGCATATTTCCTCTACAATGAGGCGAATTAATGTTGATTGGATCTTTCTTCAACCTCCCTTCACTATAAATAGTGATCAAAGGCTGAAGGTAGAGATCATCCCAGAGCAAACAGTTCTCTAGTTGACTCTTCCTCTCCCTCTCTTTCTCTTCAGTGTATCTACTATGCACCATAGTCTATAGTCTAATAGTCTAAACTCGTATAGGTAGTTGGGTAGATTCTACAACACCGGGATCTGGTAAGACCTTGATCCGACTCCTTTATTTCAGTTTGTTATTTATTTGATATTCCTTCATAATAACATATGTATTTAGCCAAAAAAAATATATGTTTTATAAAGTTCTTGAATGTTGTTCAATATGCAGTATCAGATTTCCTAAGTAGGATATGCATGATAGTTAGAGGTATTGGGGTATAAAATCAAAAAGTACCTTATTCTCTTCATTTCTCCCCTTCTTTGACTTCCCCCTTTTTCAGATCTAAAAGCAAGTCACTAGTCTTCTCCAAGCATTTTTCAAGAGAGTCTTCAAGCAACATGCAGGATTATAATTTACAAAAATGGAGACAATTTATATCAATTATGAGCAAACTCACTAGTACAAAATATGAAATTCAAGGGGTACTTTTTACATTGGTTGAAAGGCAAACGATGTAGAATGTTAAGGCGGTGGCATTTTTGTAATTTTGACAACGCGTATTATAGTTTTTACACTGGGTGAGAAGGCAACTGCAGTTAAAAATACTTTCTATAGCGGGTGCATGGACACCTGCTGTAGAAAATAGAGTTTCTACAGTGGGTGGCTTCTACCCGATGTAGAAAATGTGATTTTCTACAGCGGGTGCGTTCACCCGCTGTAGAAATGATTTTCTATAGCAGGTGGCTTTACAGTGGGTGGCTTGCACCCACTGTAGAAAAACAGTTTTCTATAGCCGGTGTAAGCCACCTGTTGTAGAAACCACTTTCTATAGCGGGTGAAGAGTGACCCGCTGTAGAAAGTTGTTCAATTTTTTTTTTTTTGCTTTTAAACTTCACACTTCTCCTCCCTCATTTTTGTACCTTTAGAATACTTATTCGTGCTTCCCTCCCTCATCCCCCTTCCCCATACTCTGTCGTCCCCATCCCTTTGGCCCACCCCTGTCCCCTCGTCACCCTCCCTCTAGCACCCGTCCCCACCCCTGTCCCCCTGCCCCCCGTCCCCAGCCCCCCTCGGCCCCCACCCCCCTCAGCCCCCTCCCCCATCGTCCCCAGCAGCCCATCCCCACCCCCTCCCCCCTCCCTTCCTTGGCCCTGCCCTCTGTCCCCAGCCCCCCTCCCCACCCTAATCATCCCCAGCCCCCTCTCCCCCTGCCCCCCACCCCCTATCCCCACACCCCTCCCCCTACAGCTGCCCTTCCCCCTTTCTGCTGCCATTCCCTCCCCTTACCTCTACCGCCTCTTCCTCCTCTTCCTGTTTGCTCCTCCTCTTGTTACTGCCGCCACTTTTGATTGATTAGGTATAGCTCTTAATTTTTATAAAGATAATTTTTTATTTGATTGTATTTTTTATTAATTTATTAGGTTGATATGTGTATATGTATATGATAATAATGATATTGATTATTGTTGGGAGTGCTGTTAGTAGATTTATAAAGCCTTAAATTGTTACATGTGATCATTAATTTGGTTTAAAATTATCAATTTTCTCTATTAAAATTTTTTAAAAGTCTTGGGAGCTCAAGGGTCTTACATGGATCGAGCCAAAGGTAATGCTATACTTTATGAATATGTTTAATTACTAAAATATGTTTATTCTTATACAGAGCCGTAGACAATCAGTGAAGACGAATTTGTGCGGCCTATATGTCATGAGACATATGCTCAACATTATCACATTGGGTATGACTAAATTTACGAAAGAGGTAAATATATTTTTAAGATTTTTATTTTATTATGTTATTTGAGAGTACATAATAAGTTTCTTTTACAAATTATATTTTAGATGTTTGACAATTCGGATCCATTTCCTGAAGCTGAAATTGAAGACATTCGCATATGTTGGACAACTTATTTTGGGGAGAATTTGTGAGTTTTGTAGAAAGTTTTGTACAATTTAAGAAGTTTGATAGTTATAGACAACTTTTAAAAATATTTGTTGACACAATATTTTGGATAGCTCAATATATAGTTCTTAGATAGTTCATAGATAACTTTGAGTTTTGGATGGTTGTTAATTTAATTTTATATTAAAAATTATAAATAAATTGAGCTGTCTGATTTAGCTGTGGTAATTTTTGTGTACAGAGTAAGGTAAATTTAAAAATATGGATGTATATTTTAAAAATAAAATAAACTTTTTACAGCGGTTATTACCATAACTGGTGTTGAAATTAATATTCTACATCAGTTAATGTAAAAGTTGGTGTAAAATAGCAAACTTTCTACAGCGATTGGAACCCCAACCGGTGTATAAAGTGGACTTTCTATACTGGTTGTATTCCAACCGCTATAGAAAGTGCTCCAGTTTTTAATTTTTTTATCGTTGAACTATTTTCTACATCGGTTATGGTTAGCCAACATAGAATATGTATTTTTTACAGCGGTCGTATAACCAATGTACCTATAACAACACCACCTATTTAACCGCTGTAAAAAGTCATTTTTAACCGCTGTAAAAAGTTATTTTTGTAGTAGTGATTGAAATCTACTCGAAGGGCAAATGACCATGTGAATCCCATCTACCTTCATTACGTTGCTTGAAAAAATTAAGCAAACCCAAGAAAAACATCAAGAGCAAGGACCATGCAAGATAAATGGAGAAGGAGAAAACAAGGCCAAAGGAAAATAATTCGATTTGAAGGGTGAAAGGTTCTGTTATCTGATGGTGGAAAATGATTTGATTTGTAAAAATGAATTAAACCACAGACATAGATGCCTCTAACTCAATGACTCTTGTCGCACTCAGAAATGCAATGTGGACAGCACGTGAGCGGAGTTTCCAACCTTCGGGGCGGGAATCGGATGGAACATGAGTCGTTAGCAAAATTTTGGGAGAAATTTTGAAAAACCAATTAAAAGAGAATAAAGATGGTCTGTGAAAGCAAAAAATAGGTTCGGGAGTCGATTGAGTGTGGGGAAGGTATTAGGCACCCCACAACACCCCTTCGTGAAAACGGTTACCTGAAGTTTGTTGTGCTAAATTAATATAATTTTAAAGTTATTTTAATTATCCCTTTCTTATTTTTGTGTTTTAAAAAATGATTATAATAAAATGAAAAATATTTATTTATTTATGAGAGAGTACTTAACTTAGAATCAGACTCTGAAGCTTACGTACCCTATGATGGGAATCAAAGTCTACATAATTTAGGTTTAAAAATTTGTTGGTGAAAATATTTTTTTGAAGAGAAATTAATTAAAAATAATTCACTATTTTGCAAATAAAATAATTTCTAAAATTTTTATATGTATGTTTTAAATTGCAATAAGTAATTTAATTTTAATTATTTTCTTAATGTTTGAATTTGTGGAATAAAGAAAAGAAAAGAGTTTAAAAATTATTTTTATTTTTATTTTTATATTTTATGGTCAGAAATTTAATCGCAATACCTGTAGAGTCTTGTTGGCTCATACGATAATACAATTATTTTATATATCTGTGGAGATTTTAAAATCTCACACGATAAAAGAATTTAGCAACTTAATTTATTTATTTATTTATATTCTTATGTATACTTTTAAGTATTAATAATAATTTTTAAGCATGTATGTACATACACACTTTTCCAAAAAATATTAATCATCGTACTTGCAAAGTCTTATTGACTTATATGGTAATATGATTATCCTAAATATCTACAAAAATTCCAAAATCTTACATGATAAAAGATTAAATAATATACACTTAAGTATATTTTTAATTTAATTGATTTAATATATAATTTATATATATATATATATATTTTAAAAACTTAATCATTATATCTATAGAGTCTTATTGACTCATATGATAATACGATTATCTTAGAACTCTACAGAGATTAAAAAATCTCACATGGCTAAAAGATATAATCGATAAATATGATTACCATTTAAATATATTAATTTGATTAATTAATTTTTCTAAATTGTGTATTATATCATTATTTATAAAAATCATTTATTTATCATAGAAATTCAGAATCACCACATTTGTGAGGACTTATTATCCCACACGATAATGTGATTAATTTAAGTCTCTAAAAAATTTTTTGAAATCTCACATGAGCTTAAATAAATTTTTCATTTGGATTAGAAAAAGAGAGCTAACTTTAATTATGGGCCTTTAAAATTTATATTAACATATAAGTTTTACTCTTATATCTACAAAACTTTATTGATTTACATGATACAAGATCATCCTAAATATTTGCAGAGATTCAAAGTCTTACATGATAAAATGATTAAATAATATTCACTTTAAATATATTTTAATGTGTAATTATATAACGTATATTTTTAAATATAAAAATCTTAATTGTTATACCTACAAAGCCTTATTAACTCGCGTACGATTATCCTAAAGGTCTACGGAGTTTCAAAAATCTCGCATGACTAAAAGATCTAATTAGACAATATAATTTAAATTTAAATTTATTAATTTAATTAATTAATATTATAAAAAATGTTTATTAATTTTTTTACAAAATTCATATAAATTGAGAATTGTGATATCTGCGAAGATTTATTATCCCACATGATAATGCACTTAATTTAATTCTCTACGAAGATTTTTGAAATCTCACATGAGACTTAAATATTTATTATAAAAAAATAATTTTAACAATGAGCCTTTGGAATCCACATAAATACTTACAAGATTGATCCTCATATCTGTGAAATCTTATTAATTTACATACTATAAAATCATTCTAAATGCCTACAGAGATTTTTAAAATCTCACATGATAAATAGATAATCAAAATATTTGCATTTACAATCGATACATAATATTATGGTTGGCTAAATAATTTATGCAATAAAAACAATGAAAAGAATAGAGAAATAAATTATTTTGATAATTCACTATTTGATTAGAGGATATATTCTAATTTAAACTATGGTTTGTTCTTCTTCTATTTTGGGCTAGCTTGAATTATTTTGAAAGCTTCCTATTCATAATGCTCGACCACACTCCTCGGTCTTTTTTTTTTTCCTTCAAAAAATCCAGCTCTCGGTTCCCCTCAATTCATGTGGTTCAGTACAGCTTCATCTTCCCTACGCCAAACAAGTCTCTGTTTCTTGTTTTTAAATTCAGATCCTCTTTAAAGATCAACGCTAAATCCCTCTCGTTCTCTCTCCCTCTCGGTCTCTCTCCTTCTCGGTCTCTTTCTTTTTCTTTGCTTGTGTACATGTTGTCAGTTCCTATTGCTCTCCGTCTCTTTCTCCTTTTCGGATCTTGTTCCCAACTGCTCTTCCTCTTTCACTCTCCGTCTCTCTCTCCTTCATGCTGCGTCTGTGTTCAAATTCTCAGTCTCTTCCTTGCTTAAACTTCTCATTCTCTATCCTCTCTCGTCCATTCCCCCACTTTCGATCTCTCTCTCTCTGGTTTTTTTTCTCGTCTCGAATCCTCCATTCAGACCTTTTCTTTGTGCTTTGTTTTTCTTCCTTTTCTACAACGTGCCTCTCTGCCATTTTTTTTCTGCATGCGTCTTTGATTCCTTTTCTTTGCGTGTGCGCGTGCTATGTTTCTACTCCTTTTCTTTGCGTATGTCTGGCATTCTGCTCTTTTCTCTGCATGTGGCTGAACATTTTGGTCTTCTTGGTCTGTGGCTCTGTTTTTTTTCTTTTTCTGCATTTCTTCTTCTCATGCGCCTGCGTGACTCGCCTCTACTCTCTGCTTTCTCTTTTTGATTACGCTGTAACGTTTGTTTTTGCATGGTTGTGCTTCTGTGTGTTTTTTGTGTATGTGTGAGACTGCTCTGCTCTCTGCTTCTGCTATTCTTGCGTCTGCTGTGTTTGTTTGCTTTTTGCATTTTTCTCTGTGTGTTTTCGGCTGGCGTGTCTGGTGTTTGCATCTGTCTTCGTATCTTCTCCTTCTTGATCTCTTTTCTTACCTTTGCTTGTGTGCATGCTGCATTTTTTCGAGCCATTGTTTTTAATGCTTTTTTTTTTATTAATTAGATTAAGAGAATGCTTTTTTTTTATTAATTAGATTAAGGGAGAGAAGAAAAATTTAATTTTAAAAATATATATATATATATATATATAAAAATAGAAAACAAAAATATTTAAGGAGAGAAATTTAAAAATAGTTGAGTCTCAAAAAATTAATTTCCAACATCTTTAAATGGTTGAGATGATTTGAGATAAATTTAAAAAAAAATAAGCAAGATTTTTTTTATTTTGTTAATTTATTATTATTATTTTTAAAATATAATCCTAAAAAAGATTAA